CAATGAAGAAAATGCGAACATAAACTTTTCTTAATTGAGAAAATTTTTCCTTTGTTTTTTCACTTCCAACAAACATAACTCGAGATAGAAGTGATGTAGACTGCTGAAAATTTCAGAAGTATAGGAAGTCATTGAGAGAAGTATTCTCTGAAATTTTTAAGTCACTCAGAACTTCCGAACAAGAGATATTCATGATTTAGTACTAATGATACAATTGTACAAATAGAATACTATTCATCTATTGGTATTTTATATGTCACCTACGAATCAAATTAAAAGCATAAGCTGAAAGATCTTTTCTTTTCTTTTTTTTAGTCGAAGTATCCTAAGATAAACTAGATTCTAATTGAGTACATTGCTGAATACTGACTAACTTTATAACTTCTTAGATTTAAGTAGAACTAAATTAAAGTTGAATGTAACTTAAAATAAATATGTCGCGGTTGATATGAGAATTGAGTTGAGTTTGGAATGTGTGAATTATTTTTAAAAATTCTGTTAGAAAAAATTTCTAATAGATATAAACCTTTATAAACAAGGTGAAATAATTGATTTAGGCAAGAATTTACTAAATGACGTCCCATTAAACCATAAATAAAAAAAATTTTATGGTTCTCTCTGAATTTTTTCTTTTACTGAGTTATTAAAAAATTCAATTCAAAATTTACTAAGAATGATGATACATCATATATTATCGACTAAAATATTTAGATAACAACTTTAACTTCCATTCTCATTAGTGCTTACAATCATTCATTATACTCTAATATCATAGTTATAATACATACATGTGATGCAACGCATCCTTCTTTTTTGAACACTATCCGCATCAACCCCTTGCTCGTGTAAATAAATACTTAAAAAACAAAACTATTTTTCTCATTAACTTTCACTACTTATTCAATGTCACAATGCCGCAAGATAAAAAAAACATATTGTAGAAATACATATGCTCTATTGAACAAAATAAATATAGTCAACTTGTTACTGTTTATATACAGGATAATAATCTAAACCCATCTCTATTATCAAGTGAGCTTCGAAAATCAGTTCTTTATAATCATCTTATAGAACTTTTTTTAATTCTTAAATCTTTTCAAAACTCTGTTTAATTTTTCCTAACATATATGTATAATTATGTTCTATGTCTGTCCAACTTAATATATTCGAAAAAGACGTAAAAACTCAAAATGGCCCGAAATTTTTAAAACAATCTTTATATGTTACTTTAATAGAACATGCGATAATTCGATGAACTTCTTAAAAACAGAATAATTTTTATCGCATATCTTTGCATATTATTAAACGTTAAGCTTTTGAATGAAGTGTGTCCCTAGAAAGAAGAATCAGGTTTCATAGATCTGGATTGCATGAAATATAGTTTAGATAAATTTTTATGAGAATTCAATCTTGTTACCATCTTGTAATGGTAATTAACTAATTGCTTTGATTTTGATCTGTTAAAATGTATATCAAATTTAAACCTCTAAAAAGATTTTAAATTTGATATAGATTCTTATGGAGCAAAATTAAACTAATAAGTCGTTGATTACAAAATGATAACAATATTAAAATAATTAAGAATTGATCTAAACTATACTTCAAGCAACCTAGATCAGAGACCGGAATCAATAAGACAGTTTTTATTCGAATCTGATTTGACTCGACTCACACTGCTATGAAAAAAGGATATTCTTATTTTCTCACATAGTAGCTATATTCTCTAATTTTATTTTCTGAGCAAGCTACTTAGTTTTCTTTTTTCCCGTTCTAGTCCCCTTTTTTATATTTGATCTATTCATACATATTTAAAAGATCATTTTGGTTGTTTAAAACAAATAGTACCAGAGAAAATAGATTTTACGTAATAAAATTACTTGTAAAAATTCGACATTAATGAGCCCGAAAACTATTATATAATCCACACTTGAAAGATTGGAAATTCATGCATTGAGTGCATCTATCAAAGTTGGACAAGCGAAAACTGATCACTACGAATATTCGTCGGAAAACTTTATATAATAAAATGATAACATACTCAGTGATCTCAAGATTATTACAAATATGAATTATTTTTCTGACATATGTAACATCGCTCAAGATCAAGATATTCTATAATTATTAAACTTTTCATATCAAGAGATTGTCATGAGATTGCAAATAAACAGCTACCAAAAAGGTATTGAATCTATCGCAGAATATTTAAAATTCTAGTATATGTCTGCGGTAACCGTCCCAAATGTCCTTTGGAAAATGTCCTTGACGAAATGTCCCCGGATTTTGGTCCTTCAGAAAATGTTCTTCAGTGAAAATATCCTTTGAAAAAATGTTCCTTAAAAAATGGACCTTCATCATATGGTCCTTCGAAAAAATGTCCTCTATTATTAAAATGTCCTTTCAATACAAAAAAAAACAACGACCAATTATAATGTCAATCGGATAATTTTTTATTCTAATGAATGACTTTATAAGTTATTTTTAATATACAACATAAAAAGAAAGTTCTTGTAACAAAGATTCGACCGTAATTTTTTCATCGTTGAACCGATTGTATAATTCTTTAACTCGTTGTTCAACAACTTTTGATTGAGTCTTTTTTTCACGGGGTCGCATTCCAGAATTTATTTGAAGAATTAAATCGTGGGCAGTTTGGACTTCGTTTTGAATTGAATTAATGAATATCCATATGTTGGGATGCGTCTTTTGCAACCTTCTTTTAAATCTATGATTGTACCCTAAAAGATATGACAATCTGGTGAAATGTTGTAACTGTTACCTTCAACTTACATACCCTCACTATAATTATTTGTCCTATCTGAAATATCAAAAACATTCCACATTGGTATTTGCTTCATCCACTGACTATTAAAATATTTAAATAAACCAAGTAGTTCATCTCGTTCTTCTGGATTAAGTTCTTCACCAAGTCGTGCAAATAATGATGGAACATGTTCTGGAGGAACTAATGCCAAAGCCATCATCCGTCGAATTACGCTACGAACCATAACATTCTCCAAGTAAGTTGATGATAAACCATTAAATTGAACATTACGATAAATCGCCTTACAGAAATGAAAAAAACATCCTTTCTGAACAGTTTTTTCTGTAAACTGTAAGGAAAGACATACAGATTTTTAATATAAAGACTTGATAAGTTGGAAGATAATCATACCTCGAGTGAGATTGCTTTAGCAGTACCTGGTTCAAAATCAGTCATTATCAAAGAAGGATCAAATGTTTTATTACGTTTTTTTGCTTCAGAAAATAAAATATTAAATAAATACATATATGTAAATGCTTTACGATCAGGAAGTAGTGAATATACCACCGGAATACCTATTTTAACGAAAAATATTTTATTAGTATCAGATGACTTAGAATATTTGATCGAAAAGTAATAGCTTACATGTTTCATGATGGATAGCGTGAATGATGTACACCTGGTCAAAGTAAGGTGGAGCAGAAGAAAACGTGCCATCCATGTAAAGCTTCTCGCTATTGAACAATAAATTCAACTGAACATCTGATGACCAAACTAGGATTCTTCCCTCAAGTCGTACATGCAAAGATTTGTCGATTTGGAATTGTGGATCATCACTGTCGTGTAATAACAAGCGGTCATGATTAAGATAACCTGTTTTGTATTCATCGGGAATAGTAAAAAAGCATGAACTTGGAAGTGGGGGCATTATCAGCCGACGAGTTCGTACTAAATTATGACCTGAAATAAACACAGAAGTGTGGTAATATTCTATAAAATATTAGTATTATACCTAGATTAAGAATATTTGGTAAAACTGCAAGAGCTTCACCTGTGAGTAAACCTTTTCGAACTTCTTGTTCGGCAATTTCTTGTAATGGTAATAACTCATGTTCAGCTCGTTTTCGCATTTCTTCTCTCAAATTTCTTATTTCTAATTCAGCCGGATTTGGTGGATGAGAGTGCTCGGTCATACTACCAGAAAAACGTACAAACTCATCATTGAAATTGGTATGTAAAAGTACACCACAACTTCGATTTGCGCATCGCCAAAACTTGATTGTCTTGGCTTTATTATAATTTTTCATTTGAAAATAATAACCATGGACTGTTAACATTGGTTTTCGTTTATTCGATGTTGTTTTATTAATTGTTAATTTAGTTGTAGCTGAAGATGAAGAAGTTAATGATGAACATGATGAAGATGAGGAAGTTATTGATGAACATAATGAAGACGAAGAAGTTAATGATGAAGATGAAGCAGAAAATGATGATGACGACGACGTTGATGCCTCATCGATTATGACAAAATCGTTCGATGCCATTCAAAAGTCTTTTTTTTACTATTTATTAATTTCTTGTAGACACAATTACGTAATAGTAGTGTAACAAATAGATTTTTTTTTCTTATTTCAATCATCACATCGATGGATAACTAAAGCCTCTATTCATATAACTTAATCGGTTCAATTGTATATTCGAATTATAGCGTCATCTAGGTCTTCGACATGTTTTATATGAAATCTTTCAAGCCAAAAATAAAGAACATTTTCAGATGGGGAACAATTTCTAAAGGATATTTTTTATCAAGGACATTCACCTCAAGGGACATTTTTGCAGGGACGAAATCTAGAGGACATTTTTTCTGAGGACCAAAATCCGGGGACATTTCGTTAAGGACATTTTCTAAAGGACATTTGTGACATGATTCATGTCTGCTTCATTTCATTATATGTACAGTTGCACGTTTACTTAATTTGCCTTTTTCTTCTAATGAAGCTTCTTCAGTTAGATAGTCGACTGATTCTTTGATTGGTACCAAAACATCAGAATTATAAGATTCCATTAATTTTTGTTTTGATTCAAAAAGAACCAAAACAACGCATCTTTCTGAAGATCTTGATCTTTCTATTAATCTATCATCAATTTCTCTCGTTATCCTATTAAAATAATCTTCACTATTCTCAATCATAATATCATCTCTTTTAATAAATCTAAGATTAGTTTTTCTAAATACAGACGGAACATATGTATTTTTCATGATCTCATAATTATTTTGTATGACTTTTTTCTCAGGATCATTTAGAGTTTCTAATGTATCTGTGACACTCATAATATATTGAACCTAGAGAGATATTTCAGCATATGAAAAATTGCAGCAATTGATTCTTATACTTATATTTTCATGTAGACTTTCTTCACTTATATTATTGTTTTTTTCATTGTCACAAAGATATGCAAACAAAGTTTTATGTATCCAATTTAGTCATTTTTGACAACGTAATCATGAGACTCGAAATTATTTACATCCGATAGTATATCTTTTAGAACTTCTCGAATTAATGATTCCAAATTTGGATATCTATCAGAACAAGCTTTATATTCAGTTGTAGCTGTCACTTTAGTAACCATCCATTAAAGACATTTCGTTAAAGCAGAGGATGGGTGTGGGTGTGGGTAAAGAAGTGGTATATGAACATACACCCAGACCCAGCCACACCCGCACCCACACCCACACCCATCCAAAACTAGTGTGTTCTATATGTCTTCGAATATGTTGAATTGAACATAATATTGTTTCGATGAGACCTACTTGTAATATCAAGTTCTATCGTTGCTAGAATTATTTTTAACAGTAATCTCTCAGAATGAAAATGAAATAAGAAAATTGACATTTCCAATATATACAAATAAGATCCATCACAAAACACTGTTGGTTGATTCAATATATAAAAGCACAACAAAAATATTGTTTTCAAAGCACTTGAAAGAACAAGTACATATGAGAAGTTTTATTGAAAAGTTCAGAAAAATAGTTAGATGAAATTTTGATTGTTAAATACTTTTATGAATTAGATCGTACAAGAGATGAAATTATTAGTCACTGTTATACGTCAGAAAAAGTCGTGTAATTTATTGTGTCACAGAATAATAATTCGATGAAGGATATTCTTTCTGCATAGTTAAATCTGGATAATAAGAGACAGAATTAGGTAAAAAATTTGTTGCTTGATTGAGCTCATACAGATTCAGTTTCGCAATGGATTCAGTCTCCAATGATATTGGTACATTAACATCAAAATCTGTGTCCATGCCATCAGTTTTAACATCAAATTCTAGAAGATAATAGACGCATACATTAGCTTTGCCGTGAAATTCATACGACGGAAGTAGTGGATTGGAAGGAATAGTCATAGAAAATCTCTCGATTATTCGCTGTTTCTTTGTGTTAACGATTGTGGGTAGAATTGTTTGAATGATTGTTTCCCTTCCTGTGTTACATTCGATTTGAAAATGTTGAATCAAAGATAAATAAATTTGTTTCAACAAAACTCGTTGTGGATTATCGATTTCTACTGTTCCTTCGATTGTTTCACCTGGTAGATAACCGAGTTTATTGATGTTTCCTTTCAGACTAAGCTCTTTTCGATTATGATTACCAAAAACAGATCGTGTTAAGTATTGTGGATCTTGCAATAGATTGACACGTGGAATGACTGTGAAGTAGAGAGTTTCCGTCTTGTTAACTTTATACCAGGGTTTATCGATGACAAATAGTAAGTAATATCGAACATGGGGATATTCATTTGGTTGATTGATCGAAGGTGGAAGTTGATCAGGCAATCGAAATTCAAAAGACCATGAGTAGTTACCAGCATGATAAACTAATTCTTTCTATCTCAAGGTAGATCTTTCAAAGATTTGTTTTGCCGAAAACAACGATGTTGTGTGGTAATCAGTCACCGTACGTGTTGAACCGTTTGCTTCAGAAACGGTACGTGTTGTTGAATAACCAGTTTCGCCATTCAATTTAATAAATATTTCGTGAACCTTTTCCTGTACTCCTGTGATATTTACGTTAACTCTCCCCGAGACTACTTCACCAGGTAGAAACGATCGATTTGTTCGATTGAGATTTATGGTGATAGAAACACTGTTGCCAGAGCCCATTTTGTGTCGGAAATTTATCTAGAGAAAAGTAGATCGAATATTATTCAGTCAAAAGCGACATAATCGTTGAATCATAGACACAGTATAATCACAGTATTTTCCTGTTCTCTTGTATCCTATGTGATATAAATAATCCTGATAAGGACTCAATCTTTGAAAGAAATACGATATACAAAATACACTGATTAGGGATGTCTCTTTTTCGTCGAATACTTTCAATGGCTCGGATGCGGCACCGTAAGTAAATTTGTTCTGGTATCAAGAGATCTCATGAACTCACCGTCACTTAGTTTGATCCTCACTATCTGTTTTGAGTTCATTGCCATTGTTAATTCGTTTCTGTGCATCATTTCATCAAACTAAATGAAACAAACAATGTACCTAGTACTTAATAGTAAAACACATTTTCAATCAATTGATGTATTTGTGAGAGCCACAGGGGAACTGCGTAGATATGACTTTCACAGAAGTTGCATTGAGAAATTAATGAGAGATTGAGAGTGACTAGTAATCGTAAATAACAGGTGACCTAGATAAAAAATAGCAGTTCAATGTTTCTCATTATCTTTTTTGAGTTTTGCTAAGGTTGAGTTTATCAAGTATTCATTTTGACAACAATGTTTGGTTTGTGTGACCGATAGTCACTGATGATACTACGTAGAGGAATGTTCAAATGAAAATTTTCAGTTGAAATAGTGCTTATTAGGTTGCATACAATAACATGTTTCCTGATTTTAGAAAAGAGATACCAACTAAAAATTTTTGCAACTATATTTTGCTGCTAAATAAAAATGAAATGTATTGCAATCCGTTGAACTTGCATAATAGCAGCGTCATTTACAATATATGTTTTTTCATATCATCTATGTCATCCGTTCAGAACATTGGATTAGTAATCAAACGTTTTTGTTGATTACTAAGAAGAAACTTTTCTTGAAAACTCTGCCGATATTAAAATAAGACTCACAAGCATCATCAAACGATTGTTTTCAGTGCCGGCATGAAGCGATCAGGATTGGGGGGAGGATATCGACAGTCTGGGGCAAGCTGATGACTTGACGGGGAATCGAAAAACTGATGGCAGTCCATTGGGGGGGGAAACGAAAATTTTTCAGGATTGGGGGAGTCACTTCCTCTTCAGTTGCGACAGCCTTGATTGTTTTAGTATTTTCATCTTAAGTAAACAATAACAGAACGATACCTATTGTTCACGCTTCAATTCTGTGTAAGGTAGTTACTTATTCGAATTGGGAACAATATCATTTTTCTCTTCTACTATGAACTTTCATGACGTAAATATAGTCGAAAAGATTACAATTTTCCTTCATACTGAAATCATTTTCCGCAAACTAGACAGGCTCTCGAAAAGGTATATCTATATATTATATAGTGATGGATCGAAGAAGGTAAGTAGCGGAATAATTTTATTTTTATCACGGCGAAAATCGTAAGGAAGTAGAGAGCGTTTATTTCGATGTCTTACGTACACAGCCGTAAGAAGGAACTACAGAACGAAAGAAAAAGTGAACTGTATACGCTGTAACGAACGTAATACGTTCTTTACGACATAAAATGTGTGTTTTGTTTGATTGATAAACGAAAAAAAAAAACGATCAAGATAGTGTTGTTAGTTCCAAAAATTAAGCATTCGTTTATTTCAATGATACTAGAGCACTTCTAATTTTCTAAAAATCTTACTTTTCAATGTCGATCAGTCAGTACTAGTTGAACTGATGAAAATGAGAAAAAATTTGAGTCTCCCTCTTTTTTCAATATATAGGAAAAATAAACAATGATAACGTAAGATGATTTCTGTGTCATTCGTTCTTACGCAAAATACCAGGCACAACATTTTACTAGGTTTGAGTATGTTTCGACCCATCACTAAATATTATATTTTCGTCCTATATAGGGAAGAGTGGAGAAATTCGGGTGTTCTTCAGTTTTTTCCTTGTCACAGAAAAATTAAAATTACTAGAAAAATGCATCTAATCCTGTGAAAAAACGAGATCAGACATTTTCATTGTTACCTGGGATTTGAAAAGTATGTTTAACAAATTGTGAACCTTCGTGAACTGAATTACTGTGTTTTGTTTTACTATACCGTCACATCGATTTTATCTACCAAGTATTTTTTGTGGCATGCATATAATTTGATAGATCGACGAATAAGCTATTTTTTAAAAGATGAAATGTTCTCAGAAACGGCAACATCATCGATTGAAATGTCATCACAGTCATCGTCATATTTTCTGCTCAAATAGGTGCTTACAAAACCATATATAACTATAAGAAATGCTGCGTGCGTAAGTGTATGTATACATTGGATGTATATATATGTAGGAGAGAGAGAGAAAAGGAAGAGAAAAGAGAGAAACAGCAAGATGGAATACATAAGTGATGTGATTGAAATAAACGAAGGTGCGTGTATTGGCACCAAGCGAAGATGTGAGAATCCGTTCCAATAACCGGACTACTCTTTCGTCGTCTTTGCAGTCTCTTTTTCTCTTTGTTCGTTCGTGTTGCATTACACATCAATGAACATAAGTATAAACGACAAATAACTCATAGCATGATTCACAGAAGAAAAGTAACTGAATAATCAAAATACGTTTACTTACCATTGCTGAATCGAACAGATTTTTTTTTAAGTATCTGCCATAACTGCATTAGAACCATATATGAGAGCATAAAATATCGTAGTGTTCTATCCTGCGATGAATCAAGACAATACGGAATATCCTGCAAGACCACATAGACTTGTCTGGTTGTTTAATAAAATATTTAAAAGAGTACAAAATCTAAATGAAAATCTAAGTAGTTTGAGTATGGAAACGAACCCTCATGTAAATAGAGAAATTGTTTAAAAAATATTTTCAAAGCCTAGTATTGACATATAAATCACCTTCAATATTCAGAATTTCCAGCATTTGTTTATTTCCACTTCACATAGTACATCATATTTTAGATTGAAAGGACTTTTTTGACTAGTTTCACAGTAGAATACTTTCACCATTTACCAATGCAAAACATAGTGAAGAAAAAAAATCATCCAAATAAGAATATCATGTATTATTATTCTTCCTATGCCTTCACAGATCTGATACTCATAATTTGAGGAAAAATCACTATTGATTAATTGATGAGCCTTAGGGAAAAAATATTTTTCAGTTTGATATTTTTATCGGAAAGTCCCGTATATGAATGTTGGAAGCTTGATTTTTGTCTAGCAATATCAACTCTTAAGCAAAGTAGCTTCTAGTCAAGCTAAAGTGTTCTTTGACGGTAAGATACCATTCGCAATAGTAACAGTACATATTTTAGACATACTGTTAGTTAACGTATTACGTGTGATGACTTACGTCTCCTATCTATAAAAGGAGTTAATATTTCGAAGACTATCTAAGTAAAGAAAGGCAAACTTTTGACGCCATGGATAATTATTTTTTTTTCTTTTCTTCTAGACGGATGAAAAATCGGTTGTTGTTATGACAGAATCGATTCAATTTCTAAAACATTTTAGTTGCTGTGCACAGAATTGCTGGCTATAGGTGAAAGTATAACATTGTTAGAAAATAAATGAGAAGATCTCAATGTAAATATTCAACAGTTTACCGTGAGAGATCGAATTCTAATCTAACATTCATCGATCAAGTATTGTCAATTCAAAATTTAATTCTCTTGAGAAGCATTTGTATGCAAGCTCCATGTGATGGATGTTGTTCTAAAGTCAACGATATAGGTAGATTCAAACTAGTTCAAATATTGACTTCCGCTAGTTGCCAATCTTAAATGTAGTGAGAAAAAAAAATTCGAAAAAAAATGAGATTCTCTACAGTAGTTTTATTTTCAGTAGCACTGAACAGTTCAAATTGATCTAAATAAAGATTTGCATAACTAAAACGATCATCACAGAATTTTGAAGGTCGACAACTTTTCTAGACTAAGCTGTATTCAACTGACCAGCTGTTTCGAAGCGTAAAATAAAATACGTGCAAAAATATTTTGAATTGAGTATATCTAGCGAGTTTTTTTGATCTCGTTTATTCACTAGTTTCTTCGCATCTGCAGTGAAAATACATTTTTTTCAGGCGCTTTTTTCTGTAAGACGTACCGTATAAAGGTTTTCTTTTATTCTTACATTCGCTGCACCCGAAGGTAATAAGCAAGAAAACAGAATCGACTAAAACTAAGTAAAGTTAGATGACAGATAGTTGAGAAATAACATGACAGACACAAGAGAAATTAACAATGAACTATCTCGAGGATTTTTAACCGAATTTTACAATTCTCGATGGAATCGTACAGGTTTCTAAATACGTAGTTGTCAGCAACAACGAGTAGGGTGACTTGAAATCGACATATATGAGCTGAAAGTAGTATTCGAGCAAAACTTTCCTCAAGAGTTATCAACCGATCTCTGCAATAATGCAAACTATCTTATACACAATACGCAATTGTTGTCTTTTCATGAATCACAATCATTTTAAAAAGTTGCATCTCAACACTGTGTGATATAATTGATGTAACATCCGATAGCTTGTTTTGCCAGAAACGGTTGACCCTTTTTATCAAACACATGCCTTTTGGGAACAAAACTAGCGTAACATAGTTGCTGACGATTGGATGTGGGTGTGGGTGTAGGTAAAAGTAGCACACACTCACACCCACACCCACACCCACACCCCACACCCTTACTTAAAATATTTATATATTTTTAAACTCTTCGTTTGATTCTTTTATACTCACCCTCAAGAAATATGTCGTATGATTGCTTTGAATTACTTTTCATTTGTAAACTCATCCTCACAACAACAACAACAACAACAGTAGCACGCAGCGGAAAAAATCGAGCATATATTGTTATCTTTTTGAGTAAGCACAGGTGACCATGTAGATCTATTATATCACCTGAGGATGTGAGAGAATGAGAGAGAAAAGAAGAATTTATCAAACATTTTCGAGATTTTCAAAGGACATGTGGTTGACTGTGATATTAGGTGGAGCATTGTTATTCGTCATCTATCATCTTGCCAAATTTTGGATACTCGATTCATGGTGGGTATATAGACACTTTCGATCACAAGGCATCCCAGGACGATACATACCGATTATAGGTGACATACTTAGTATGCATTGGGCCATACTCAACAACAAACATTTGGAGTACGCCGCAGATATAACTAACAAATATGGCGAGTATTATCAAATGTCGTTTGGTCCTATTATGGGCTTTCTTGCCAGTGATCCACAACTAATTCACGGAGTTTTGAAGACCAATGTTCGCGCTTATCACAAGTCGACTTTTGTACGATCGATGTTGGACAACATCATTGGTGTCAATAATCTTATATTGGCGGAAAATGATACGCATGCTTATCATCGACGACTCATAGCTCCCGCCTTTCATCATCAAAATTTGAATTCAATGGTATCACTTATGATTGAGACGGCATCACATTATCTTAACAAATGGACAGTATCCGCGAGACAGAATCAGGACCATGTGTTGACAATTGATATTCACAAAGAGATGGCACATCTTACACTCAATATTTTAGCTGGATGTGTCTTTGGAATGAGTGCTCAAAATGAAAAACCAGCCTACGAAACAGTTACTCGCAATATTGCTGTGGCATTGGACGAAGTGGAGAAACGAGCTTTTAAGTTACTGGCTATAATTCCACTTGTTAATCGATTACCATTGCCAAGCAAATTACGCATTGATGCATCGATGAGAGAAGTTAGACGCGTTGTTCAACACATTATTGATGAACGAAAGAAAGGCTTGTCAAAGTCGGCTTGTAAAGGCTTGATTCACTTTTAATATGTCACGATTAATTTGAATCCTTTCTCTCCTTCATTCGCTTTTAGGACCTGACTTACTTGATCTATTGTTAGCGGCACGGGACGATGGTAAACAGAAAAAGTTTACTGATGAAGAAATCTATGAGGAAGCAATCACTTTTGGTGAGTATTCGCAATTTTGTTCACGTTGTCAACACAATGAAACCTTCTAGTAAGTGCCGGTCATGAAACCACGTCAAATTTGATGACATGGGCACTCTACAATCTGGCAGCGAACCCCGAGGTGTACCAGCGTTGTTTGGATGAAGTTGATTCAGTGATGAGCATTGATAATGAATTCAACGCTTCAATGCTTTCTCTACTTCCCTATACGGAAGCGGTATTGAAAGAAACATTGCGACTTTATCCCCCAGTGCCTCTGCTGTTTCGTACAGCAGTTGAAGACAATACTTTGGTAGCTAGTGATGGTAAACATATCCATGTCAAGAAAGGAACAGAACTTGTTCTCAATTTATACATGCTTCATCAGTAAGACATCATTTTGTATTCCAATTCTATTTCATATATTTTCTTGTCACCGATATTAGCTCAGAGAAATATTGGCCAGAACCATCCAAGTTCGATCCATCAAGATTTGATCAGGGCCAATCAGAAGCATTTCTACCATTTGCTGCTGGCTCTCGTTCATGTATTGGGCAAAATTTCGCAATGATAGAAGCTAAAATCCTATTAGCTACCATCCTGCAACAATTTCATTTTGAACTTGTGCCTGATCAGACGTATGTTCCAGCTGTTGCCATTACCATGAGGTGAGCTATTTAGAGACCAACTAATATTTTATATTTTTTATCTTTCAGACCTAGGTATGGAATGTGGATGCGGATATCTCCACGATAATATTGATATTATAAAAAAATTGCTCTGTATGACAGAAGACACTTTTATTTAAGAACTTTGAAGAGTTTCTTAACGATTCTGCGTTTTTTCTAGTTAGATTTCAAATGTTTTGATGGTGATTGTAATACTTCTTCTGATATAGTCTTCAAAATATATTTTTCCGTAGTAATCTTCTGCGTACGTTTTCTTTTGACAGTTTTCATTGATGTAGAACAATTGTTGGACTGCATTGAGTGTTTTATAACATTGAGTTTTGTTTCGACTATGTTGATTTTATCAGCAAAATTATGTACCTTAAGAACTTCTAGCAATTGTTCATATCTTTTCTGAATATCGAATTTGATTTATTCATATAAAAATAAGACAAATATGTTGCAAACATCGTCGTTGGTTAAAAAAAAATCAATATTTGTTTCTTCCATTCACCTGTGTCACGAGTGACGTTAATCAACATCCACCACTTTTAATAAGAATATTACAAGAGAAAGAAAAAAATAAATTGAAAGATTCGTTCGTTCATTCTTTCCTTCCAACAAAACTGTCCCGTTCTGTAATATTTTTAAATATAATTTATTCAAAAAATCGTTGAATTCAAACAGTGTTTGGCTCGATGCACAAGTCAATGCAACAGAAGATAATCGCAATACACAACGGAAACTTGGAGAAATTATTAATCATCTTAAAACATTTGATGATGAAAATCTATGTCATCAAAATATTTCGTCATTGTTTCCACAAGATCGACTGGTTCTTATCATCAGTGGTCGATGTGGTCGATAATTAGTTCCTCAAATTCATCATCTTCCACAATTGTCATCCATTTATGTTTACTGTATGGATAAACAAGCAAATGAACAATCAGTAGTGTCCGAACTCCGTGAATTCCGAACTCTTGAGGAATTCTTGAACTCAAATATTATTTAATACGTACGCGCACTAAGAAACTACAGCATAAGGTAGCGTAAAAAAATTCAAGAATCCCAAATGATCCAAAAGGATCCAAAAGGATCCAGAGGATCCAAAGGATCCGAGGATCCGCTTTTCCCTCCTTGATCAAAATACAATAAATAGTGTGCCATCAACAGTTTAATTTTGCGATGCAAGAGCTAGGCAGCGAAAAAAAGCTTGACTGCGCCATTCTCTCGATCTCAGTGTCATTAGAAGAGAAGTTTGAAAAGTTTTTTCAATTTTTCAACGGGAGCAAAAGCAAACATTTACCTTACTCGACTCTATTTTGTGTTTACATTCTTTTTGAAGCCAAGAGAATGATTGTAAGACTATTGTGGGATGCGTGAAATAGAAAAAATCGCGAATAGAGTATAGTGCCAACGAAAAAACAAGCTTGCACACTCGTAGATTCGAAGCAGTTGTGGAAGGTAGCAGCACAAGTAAGTAAGGGACACAGTGGATGGATGTGAAGAACAAAGACATTTCTTTTATCTGATCTGAGTTGTTTCATAATAAATGTCTGTAGTTCTGATAACAACAAGTCAGAATTTTGCAGCTTCGATAATCGCACAATTCATGAGAAAGACGTCTTGAAATTCGCAATGTAAGTCCATCTTTGAAGCAGTATTGTCAAAGAAACTAATATTGCTTTCAAAACGATAGATACATTATCGAAAATAGTCTCAAGTTTCGTCATTCTCATCGATTGATCAACTATAAGACAGTGAACTGATATGTGAACTAAAACTTTTTATTGTTGTCATAATTTTCACATCAATATTCAAAATGTTCGATTCGATTGTCGCGTGTTTTAAGGGCTGTTAACAGATTGATGCTTGCTTTTCTTGTTTGAATTTAAACGCATCTACGAAAAGAACAAATGTAATCAGCTGCAGCAGTAAAATCATTGACGTGTTTTTGAAGCCTTGTACTTTTCTTTTCTCGTCATCACCATACAATACTATTTGAGAAAAAAGAACACATTTTTTTACTGCCGTTGTCCTGAATAGAAAACCTTGAAACCAAAACCATGACAAACATCGTTTACTTGATCAATCCTTGACTCGCTTGGGGTCCTTGAATTCCTTGGGGTCCTTGACTTCCTTGGGATCTTAGTGGTCGTACGTATTAAATAATATTTGAGTTCAAGAATTCCTCAAGAGTTCGGAATTCATGGAATTCGGACAGGTCTCTCTTTTCTCTTAGTGATCTGATCAAAAAAAAAAGAATTCAATATTAAACGGATCTGAATAGTTGCTTTATTTTCAGTAGCTTTTTTTCTTCATTAGTCAAATTAAATTTTCGGAATCCATAGTCAACGCAACCTTGTGCGCATTATCCTATTAATTCGCTGAGAATTTTCTCAGTTGCTGTGGTATGAGAAAGCTAAAGGTGAAAACAGTAAGAAATAGTCGAAATGTTGGTTGTCGTTTTACATCACATTAATAGCACATTTTGTCGTAATACATTAGTTTGTTGTGGTCTAGAAGAACGCAACAAAAACGTCATATATTGCATAAGAATTTATAAGTAAAAGTTGCTTGTAACGAAGTTAAGAAGCAAGTAAAACATGAGAGAATATTAGATAGCAAATAGGACGGTGATAAAAAAAATAAAATAAAATAACGAGGTAGAATATAAAAACTATTAATAAACTCATATATAGGGATGTGCAGTATCAGTATACTGACCACCGATAAAATCGCACTGGCGTTCACCGGTACGGTGACGACACTGACACTGAGCGCACTGTCTGCAGTGACGCTGAGCGAACTGTTTGCAGTGAGGCACTGGCACTGAGCGAACTGTTTGCAGTGAGGCACTGGCACTGAGCGAACTGTTTGCAGTGAGGCACTGGCACTGAGAGAACTGTCTGCAGTGACGCACTGACACTGAGCGAACTGTCTGCAGTGACACACTGACAGTGACCGTACTGTCTACACTGACACTAATATTCACTGAACCAGTGCATACTAGGGGTGTCGTATTAGCATTAAGTTAAAAATAATGCTAATGTAAAAGCATTAGCATGAACAGTTAATGCTAATGCTTTAGCATTAATGGCATTATTGTTAATGAATGCTTAGGCGTTAGCATTAATTTAGCATTATTTTTAATGCTAATGCGTATATGCAGAACAATTCGAGACTGCTACCTTGCATACTACCATAACTTTTTAAGGGCTACCATGGGGCACTCTTTTTAACTTTTCAAGGGTTACCAGAGGGTACTCTTGGTAACTTTTCAAGGGCTACAAAGAGATACTCTTGATAACTTTTCCAGGGCTACCATGGCGTACTTTAGGTAACTTTTCAAAGGCTACCATGGCATACTTTAGGTAACTCTTCAAGGGCTACCATGGGGTGCCCTTCAGTGGCGTACGCAGGGGGCCAAGGGGCCCCGGGTCTCTCTTTGAAGACAAGTTCTTTGTGGGGGCATGGGTAAAAAAAGTACTACGGTACAAATTTTTGAAAAACTTCACTGCGGGGTCCTTCCTTGAGAATTCGGGCCTCTCCCTTGGAAAATTTCTGCGTACGCCACTGGTACTCTTGGTAACTTTTCAAAGACTATTCGGAAATACTCTCTGTAGCTTTTCAAGAGCTTCCAATGGATGCTCTTTGTAATTTTTTAACGGCACCTAGGCATGGTATTTGCTATCAGTTCTGAGTTAAGAAGACGTCATATGTGTGTTTGATGGTAGTAATTTAACGTGATACAAACGATCCTGTTGTTGATTCAGATTCTTTGAATAAATGATCGCTCATATGAACTATGAAGAACTCCGGAAATGTCTTGTAGAGCACTTCATTGTTTTTTAGATGATAAACGTTTGATAGACCTCAGCTGCGTACATCAACTAACGTTGATGAGAAGACTAGCTGTATCTAGTCATTGGAATTTTAATAGTATTAACGGAATGTCTAAAACATGTGTAAAAAGGACTAGATAAGGTTTTATTTAGGTTTCAAAAATATCTGCAGACTTATTTGTAACGTGTCAAAGGGAAGACTTCCATTTTTTGCTAGTTTTTTCTCGGCTATAGGTGTAAGGGGTGCCGAAAATGTCATAGAAGGACAATTAAATTGTTCCAGGTCGAAGTCACGGAATCGAATCTGATGAGATCCCTAAAGTATCGAAGAATGTTGCGCAGTAGGCATGCAATAGGATTCGATTCTCGGATATTATTAATATTGTTTACCTGCCAGCAATTTCCCAGTGTTGGATACCATCAGACTCCTTCCTCATGATCTGATGGTATCTATCAATGGAGCCTTGTTAGAGGCGATGAAATCCAATTGTATATAACTATTCGATATTGTCTTTTGTGATTATTAGATGGCATGTGTAAGGCTGACACTTTATCTTTATTTTACTTTGAAAAAGTAAAGCAAAGTACGTAACTTTACTTTATCCGTCAGAGTAAAGTATATATACTTTATCCGACAAGTAAAGTAAAGCGAATCTAAATACTTATAATTTAGTATTGACTTTGTAGTCTAACATCATACTTTGATAATGGCGTAGCACCATTGTCAGTGTACGATATTGTGCTAAAAAATTAGCAATTAATTATAAGTGTTGTAATTCATTTTACTTTGCTTTACTTTACTTTACTTTTTGGGAACAGAATATATACTTTGCTCTGCTTTACCGGTAAAGTAAAGTTAGCTAATTGGTTTTACTTGCTCAAACAAATATAAAGTGTCACTCCTAGACGTGCGACATGTATTTAAAATACTTTTTAAGATGATTTGAAGCTGTTTCCCAGTAATACAGGTTTTCAGTAAATTTTACGTGTTGTTGTCCTAATGATACAATATATTCATTTGTATGCCATTCAATCGTCTCTTCATGAACCCGATCAGCGTACATGTTATTTCAAATACGACAATTCTTTATGAAATATTGTGTATGATACTTGAGTGGTTCTCAAAAAATGAATACTGTTATAAGGTTAGTGTAGCAGCTGAAAAATTGCAAAAAAGGTACTCCTGATGGTCCTTAAAAAGTTATTGAGGGTAACACCAGATAGCTCTTGAAAAGTTACCAAGGGTACCCTCAGATAGCCCTTGGAAAGTTGCCAAGGGTACCCCTAGATAGCCCTTGGAAAGTTACCAAGGGTACCCATACGTAGCCCTTGGAAAGTTACCAAGGGTACCCATACGTAGCCCTTGAAAAGTTACAAAGAGTACCTATAGGAAGCCCTTGAAAAGTTACTAAGGGTAGTCCCAGAAAGCCCTTGAAAAGTTACCAAGGGTACCCACAGATAGCCCTTGGAAAGTTACCTAGGGTACCCACAGATAGCTCTTGGAAAGTTACCAAGGGTACCCTAAGATAGCCCTTGGAAAGTTACCAAGGGTACTCCCACATAGCTTTTGAAGAGTTATAAAGAGTACCACTAGGAAGCCCTTGAAAAGTTACCGAGCCTACCCCCAACTAGCCCTTAAAAAGTTAAAGGAGAATGTCAAGGTAGCAGTCTAGAATTGTTCTGCATATACGCATTAGCATTAAAAATAATGCTAAATTAATGCTAACGCCTAAGCATTAATTAACGCTAATGCCATTAATGCCAAAGCATTAGTGTTAACTGTTAATGCTAACGTAAAAGCATTAGTAATAGCATTAATTAATGCTAATGCCAATGCGACACCCCTAGTATGCATTGGTTCAGTGAATATTAATGTCAGTGTAGACAATGCAGACAGTGCAATCACTGTCAGTGTGTCACTGCAGACAGTTCGCTCAGTGTCAGTGCTTCACTGCAGACAGTTCGCTCAGTGTCAGTGCGTCACTGCAAACAGTTTACTCAGTGTCAGTGCGTCACTGCAGAC